CCATTTTTGCTTGCCTGGATATGCAGGCTACTGTGACCGTGAATGGCTGTAAACAGAGATATGCCAATTGCTGACCAAGAGGCTGCCAAGGAGTGCCCTTGACTCAAACCCATATTGATACGAACACACAGCCGTCCACGCGGGGAGGAATCTCTTGGCCAGCAAAGAACATCCTGCACTCCTAATTTAGCTAACTTCCTCTCTTACAAGTGTAAATTAACTTGAAACTTGCTTGTAAGAACTGGCGCCACAAAACGGACCAGTACAATTTGGCATCTTAAGATAAGAAAGAGAATACGGGCCCCCAGGAGTGTAAAGATGGGCCCAGCAGCACACTTACTCTGAGCGTCAATCTACCACCTATCTGCTGGTCAGGTTTGGTGTTTGACCTCCCGAGGTTCCAGAGGGGACGCCCACCTCGTATTCGTCTTTCCGTCTTTCCTAGGAATTGAGGGACCGGCCCTGGCCTGATACGCTGGAGTCGAGAGGCACAAAAGGGGGTAAAAATTGTATCTGGATGTGTCCTTTGTCTTAAGTGTACACATAGACTTAGAGCTCTTTAAAGATTAAGCTGTCACTTGGTACCATTATTTCTATTTTCTATCTTTATTTTCTTTGTAACCAGTTTTAAGATCTGTATTTGCTAACAGTTAAGAAATAGAGCAATAGGCATTGTAACCATATGCTTTTATAAGTCTTTTTAATAAACCTGTAACTGTTTAAGGTTAAAATCTGACTCCTTCAGTTGCTGTAACAGAACCAAGCACAATTTAAAAGAACTTCAGCCGGTCATAAGGGACAGGTATAGGAAGAGCTTGGGCGTTTGGATCTGTGTCACTCCCAGGTGACAGATCTGTTGGGGCACCTTTCAGCCTTTCCCAGGCTGCCCGCTGCGAAGGAACCTTGTGTTCTAGCAGCTAAAATCTAAGGTGTAATAAGCTCTTCCTATATAAAGGGGCGTCTGTTGGCCTGCTGGCTACCCTCTGCGACGGGACCCCGGTCCTAGCAGTAAAGACACGGATGTTAAACCTTTTCTCGGAAACACACACACACACACACACACACACACACACTGCCCTGACCGTTGGCTGACAATCGGTTACTCCATTAGATGGGATTTTACATCCCTACTTCATTGCATACAAATAGATATGGAATTAGCTTATAACACGCCTCCCACATTGGAAAGATACTGCCCGATAACTTACCTGTGACAACTGCAGAACAGTCCACATGGATAGTTCCCAATGTAACAGCTAAATGTTCTATCTGGCCAATCACTTTCATATTGCATGGTAATGACATCTTCTCACCTTCAGTCTTGTATGTTTTGACATGCCCCTTTAACCTGTACATTGAAACCAGTAACTGTATTAAACAGTGGGTGTTCAGTAGAGAGGACAGTAGAACTATAGTCTTTGAGCTCTGCAGTTCATTCCTATTAAGTCATTGTAATCTGGAGCTTCTTTTGTGGTGACCTATTTATGATGATACTGTATCCTGATCCTGGTTAAGTAAATGGCAAGAGTCTCATTGGTTTCAAAGAGACAGAATCAGGCTCCATATGAAGAAATTATTTTGGATTATATTTCAAAGCTTTGTTCAGAAGGAGTCTGTTCCTTAGCGATCACTCCCATTTCCCCAGGAAGGAAGAATCTGTTAGTTGAAAGCTTTCTTCTAGCAATAATGGTCCAAATTCAGTCCTGGTGGAAGCATGTGCTGCTCCACATTGAATTCAAAGTGGTTGAACCAGTAGCCCCACATCATCATTTGGTCCATAACGTCTCCAAATAATCGTACAGCTAGAAGCATGTGTGTGATTTTTTTTCATTAGCAGATGAGGACAGGTTACTTCATGGGAAGTGGTGACATAAATAAAATATCCAGCAGAAGAGGAAAGGATTGTCAATGAGACGTTATATTTTAACAAGTACATTATTTTCCTTAGCTCACTATATTTAATAAACTATCCTGATAACATGTATGGATTAGAAAGATGAATGGTTAACCAGTTAACTGGTTAACTAGTAAGCATCCCCCTTGCTAGATGATACTTACTGATTATGGTTAACCAGTGGGCTGTAGTGCCCCCCGCCTACTGCTCCACCGTTAAATATAATTTTTAACCAGTTAACTGATTAACTGTGATTTTATATCCCTAGTATGAATTATTTAAGTACATTTTTTATATTTTATATTGAACTGAAATTAAGCAGAAATTCCAATACCAAGTGATAACTCTTGCCTGAGATAATCCACATGCATTTTTTTAGTTTTCTAAGGCATTTCCCCCTACAAATCTGTTTTGCAAGAGCAGTCACCCCCCTAGAGGAACCAACTCTGAACAGGGCACTTTGAGAGTGGCTCCATTAATAAAAGAGCCATTTTATTAGAATATTTCAAAGCTTTGTTCAGAAGGAGTCTGTTCCTTAGAGGTTACTCCCATTTCCCCAGGACACAAGCATCTAAAAAAAGAGACAATGGATTTCAGGAAGGCAGATGTTAGTAAACTCGGAGAGCTGGTAGGTAATGTCCCATAGGAAGCAAGACTAGGAGGAAAAACAACTGAAGAGAGTTGGTATTTTTAAAAAGGGACCTTATTAAGGGCTCAAAAGCAAACTCTATTCCACTGCATAGGAAAGATAAAAAGTATAGCAGGAGACCACCTTGGATCAACCAGGAGATCTTCCATGACCTAAAAATCAAAAAGGACTTGTATAAAAAGTGGAAACTAGGTCAAATTACAAAGGATGAATATAAGCAAACAACACAGATATATGCAGGGGCAAGATTAGAAAGGCAAAGGCCTAATCTGAATTTAGTTGAGGCATAAAGGGTAACAAGAAAATGTTCTACAAGTATATTAGGAGCAAGAGGAAGACCAAGGACTGCGTAGGCCCATTTCTTAGTGAAGAGAGAGAAACAATAACAGGAAACTTGGAAATGGCAGGGGTGCTTACTGATGTCTTTGTTTTGGTCTTCACCAAGAAGTCTGATAAGGAAGCAATGCCTAACATAGGGAATGCTAGTGGAAATAAGGTAGGTTTAGAAGTTAAAATAAAAAAAGAACAAGTTAAAAATTACTTAGAAAAGTTAGATTTCTTCAAGCCACGAGGGTCTGATGAAATGCATCCTAGAATACTTGAGCTGATAGAAGAGGTATCTCAGCCTTTAGCTAACATCTTTGAAAAATCATGGAAACTGCAGAAAAGGATCTAATGGTCATAGTGGGCCACAAGCTACATATGAGTCTACAGTGTGACGCTGTTGCAAAAAAAGCAAACATGATTCTGAGAGGCATTAACAGGTGTGTTGTGAGCAAGACACGAGAAGTCATTCTTCCACTCTACTCTGAGCTGATTAGGCCTCAATTGGAGTATTGTGTCCAGTTCTTGGCACCACATTTCAAGAAAGATGTGGAGAAATTGGAGAAGGTCCAGAAAAGAGCAACAAGAATGATTAAAGGTCTAGAAAACATGGCCTATGAGGGAAGACTCAAAGAACTAAGTGAGCGGGCAACAAAATGGCAAATTAAATGTAATGTTGATAAATGTAAAGTAATGCATATTGGAAAATATAATCCCAACTATATATATAATAAGATGGGGACTAATTTGGCTACAACTACTAAGGAGAGATATCTTGGAGTCATTGTGGATAGTTCTTTGAAAACATTCACTCAGTGTTCAGCAGCAGTCAAAAAAGCAAACAGAATGTTAGGAGTCAGCCGCTGTTGAAACTGATCAGTTTCAGCAGCGGCTGAATCTGGACGCCAGTTCTGACTTACATACAGATTCAACTTAAGAACAAACCTACAGTCCCTATCTTGTACGTAACCCGGGGACTGCCTGTATATTTTTTTCTTTTTGCTTTACCATGATATATTTTAGTCCTGTGGCACCTTACAGACTGCTTTTTGGAGAGAAATTGTAGGTAAAATAGCAAACTTCAAGTACTCTACAAAAGCACCACTTGTCTTCCGTTGCTCCAGAGAATTAAATCTGGCACTAAAGTTATATTTGTTATATGAATAGGCGTGTCCTTTGGATACTTCCGTGCAGTAACTCATGATACATTCTGTTCAAATGAATGATGTCCATGTCTTTTGGATGGTTTTTAACATGCAGTAGAGAGGACTTTGCTCTTTCTTCACAAACATGGTTTAAAACCAACAAAAGGAAGTTTTTCTTCGCTCAGCACGCACTCAGCCTGTGGAACTCCTTGTCAGAGGATGTAGTGAAGGCTAGAACTTTAACAGGGTTCAAAAAAGAAGTAGGTAGATTCATGGAGGTTAGGTCCATTAATAGCTATTATCCAGAATGGGTAGGAATGGTATCCCTAGCCTCTGTTTCTTCTTTGGAGGTGAGTGACATGGGAGGGATCACATGAGGATTACCTATTGTGATCCCTCCCTCTGGGGCATCTGGTTTTGGCCGCTGCCAACAGACAAAATACTGAGCTAGATGAATCTTTGTCTGACCCAGTATGGCCGTTCTTATGTTCTCATGTTCTTAACTGGGCTTGCTTAGTTTGGAAAGGAGAAGACTGAGAGGGGACATGATAGCGGTTTTCAAATATCTAAAAGGGTGTTATAAAGGAGGAAGGACAAAAATTGTTCTCCTTGGCCTCTGAGGATAGGACAAGAAGCAATGGGCTTAAATTGCAGCTAGGGAAGTTTAGGTTGGACACCAGGAAAAACTTCCTGATTGTCAGGGTGGTTAAACACTGGAATAAATTGCCTAGGGAGGTTGTAGAATCTCCGTCACTGGAGATATTTAAGAGCAGGTTAGACCTGATCTAGATGGTGCTTGCTCCTGCCATGAGGGCAGGGGATTAGACTTGATGGCCTCTCGAGATTCCTTCCAGTTCTAATGTTCTAGAATTCTATGATTTTCCTGTCCTATAGGACTATTTTGCGGAGTGAAGGACCAAAGAGCTCCAGTTTCTTAATTTTGTTGATTTCCATTTCACTTGATCTTTCCATGTGTTCTGGTTTACCAAGTGCATTAACGGTAGTGAAGCAGAATATATTTCCCCCGCGTTTCCTTTTAGAATCGCTAAACCGAATGGAATGGCAAAACTACTTTTGCTGATGTCATTAACATTCAGCATTCTGATTAACTGTTGTAATTACTCAGAGAAATATTACCCATAATATTTCTACCAGACACACATGCCTAAGCAATGACCTCCACATCTCAAAGCTGATAATCCACGCAGGAGAAGAAAATCTGGTTTGCCACCAGTATTTGGTAGCAAATAAAGGGGCAGATTCGGCCACAAAGGAACTCTCTTCAAAGAGGTCTCTTGTCCAATTGCCATAATTAGCTATGATATGACGTGTTGTATTTACTGTATCTGCATTTGCTCAATTTATTTCTGTCTGGGCTGTGTTTATGGGGGTGTAGGTGTTCAGGTACTCTGAGTGCAGGGTAAAAGCCTAGCCAGACAGATCCAGCTTATAGTAAAGTATAAAGCAAAGAGATGCACTTTCTCTTGCCCCACATGTCAATGGATCTCTTAGCTGGGATAGACGCAGAGCAAGAGTCTTCTCTGCTACCTCAGTCTGCAGACATCATCGCCTGGCTGAGTTAGGACCAAATAATTCGTCAGAAGATGGTGAGTAATGTAGCTAAAAGAACAAGGAATTCAGGCTCCCAGATCCATGATGCGTGAAAAGATCAAACAACCTGAGCTTCCCAATAGGTGCTGAGTACTTTCAACTCCCACTGACTTCACTGGGGAAAAGAGGGAATCAGTATCTTGCCAGGTCAGGACCAAAGAGTCTGATTTTTCAGAGAAGCTCCCATAGACTTCTGTTGCAGTTCTGGGGAGCCAGCAATTTGGAAGATCTGGCCCATGGTACTCAGGAGGCTCTCTGGGCTGTTCCATTCTCCCTTTAAGAGAATCTCTACACCCTACAGAGTTTTGTCAGAAAAACGGCCATTTTTCCAACAAAATCTGAGTTACGTCTACCCTACAATCACATTCTTCTGAAAGTAAATCTAAAGAACAGAAGGGTTTTTCTGACATTGGTAAACCTCTTTCTATGGGGAAGGAGCTTCTTTCCGAAAGAGCTCTTCCGGAAAAAGGCGTGTGTGGACGAGGAAAGAAGGGGTTCTTTTGAAAGAAGAGGAAAGAGGAAAAAGCACAGGTGCCCTGGTGGCCACTCCATCTGTAATAATCACAGTTTAAATGCGAGATAGTGTCCATTCAGTGTGGACACTATCTTTCGAAAAAGCAGATCACTTTTTCGATGCATTTTTGCTGTGTGGACGCTCTCTTTTGGAAGAAGTTTTTTCAGAAGAACTCTTCCAAAAAAAGTTCTTCCGAAAGAAGCCTGCAGTC